GAGGCTATTAGAGTTTTGCATTTGGAAATTAGTTTTTATTTCAATAAGGTTTTTAAAATTGGGTAGACATGTCAGTTTAGCTTTATTTTTGTAATTAGTTTGTGACCACATTTACGTTTTAAGATATATATATCTCAAATATATATATCTCAAATATCAGGGTTTCCGCAGGGTCTTAAAAAGTCTAAAGTTTTAAAATCTAAATTTTAGGCCTTAAAAAGTCTTGAATTCGCTTTTCTGGGTCTTAAATATTTTTGCACAGGTCTTTTTTTCCGATGTCCATGTAACGCTACATCTAATGCTCATTTAAATTCTTTTTGTTGTTTTGCTTGGTTTTCATAGTGTTGTAGTTCCTTATTTCACTAGTCCAAATGTAATTTGCGGTATTACAACTACAAGACCAATGAGACCTACTATGAGACCGACATGCAAGAGCCACTCGAGCGAACAGTTCGAGTGATGCCGCATTTGATTTGAGTTGAATATGAAACACTTTGAAGAGATTTGTCTGAAACAGGTACGACTGTAGAGACACCTTTATAATCCGTCAATGCGTAATCATAGTAATAACCAGATTGCCAACAATTGGAGGAAAGTTTTTGTAAGTTTGGAAAAACCTGATGTGCATATAACAATTTTGAATTTAAAATAATTTAATAGTTACAAAACTAAAATGAAGAAACAAATTATTTCTTTAATACCTGGAAAGGATTTACAAAATACCTGATGCCCTGTTTCTAAGCTTTTTGGGTGATAATGATCAAGAATGTTGGACCATTACTGCCTTTTTGGCTTATAAGTAGAGGACAGAAACTAACCAGGCAGTAATGTGTGAATTATAAAGGCGAAAGTATAAATCAGCCTTAAGATGTTTGTTTGGGTTTTTTTTTCCTGTAGTTAAATCGTGCATCTAACCTGTCTTCAGTACTGTTCAATTTGAATAAATTTATTTTGCCAAAATTGTCTATGCTTGTTTTTAATATTGTGATTTAGGTCTTAAATTTAATACCTAATAGTCTTAAAAAAGGTCGTAAAAAGTCTTCTTTTTACGAAAATATAATATCTGCATGTAATATCGAAATGTAATATCTTTAAAATATCTGCAAAAACCCTGATATATATATATATATATATATATATATATATATATATATATATATATATATATATATATATATATATATATATATATCAGGTTTAATGTCTGATCCAAAAGACGGCACTCACTGAGCAGTATAGAGTCCCCTTCACTATACTGGGGCGTTAGGATCCACACAGACCACAGGTTAAGCGCCCCCTGCTGGCCTCACTAACACTATTTCGGGCAGCAACCTAGCTTTCCCTTGTGGTCCCCCATCTAGGAACTGACTGCACTGTTAGACCTTACCAGGAATTTTACAGATGAACACTGGCAACACTGTTGCCAGCTACTCACTGTAAAAGTTTGGTTACAGTAAGTAACTGGCAACAGTGTTGCCAGTTAATTACTGAAAATGAACCATTACAGTGAGTGGCTGGCAACAGTGTTGCCAGTTGTTTACTGTAACTGAACCATCTCAGTGAGTAGCTGGCAACAGTAGTGGTAACTAACTGGAAACTGTGTACAGTTAATTACTGTACTGTAGTGTTACAACTCACAGCATTATACTGCATATACATTAGTATGTCAAGGTGTTACTAAAATTAATTAGTTTATTTAGAAGTTATTAATTCTTTAAATTAATTAAGTTGTAAATTCTGACAAATTTATTTTATTGTTTTGGCAGCAAACGAATATAAAACAGAAAATGTATAACAAAATTAAGAAATCAGCAGATATAAATATCATCTTGCATATTACTGAGAGCCCCAGGTCTGCACAGTAAGGCTGCAGTCAAACTAACGTTTAAGCATGCAAAATTCTGTCACATGGCTCTGCGAAAAGGAATGGGATTAAACAAAATATTTAGAGATTGAAAAAGCAAGCAACTGGTCCATAATTTTTGTTCAGAGAGGTCATGGTTTGATCTTTGATTAGTCTCAAGCAATCACATGATGTGATTTCGCAGTTCAGAGTTCTCCAGCTTGAACTTTCCAATGCTGCAAACTGTAAAATTTGTCGCATGAGCTTGCATTCCAGGTCTGCAGCATTCACATGCGTATGAATGGAAGTCTAAAGGGAGAGAAGTGCAGTGTGACCGGGACTTTAAGCTGTAACTTTAATTAAACACACCTGATAAAACTAATTAAGGCTCGTTAGAAATCTACAGGTAATGTTGAAGAAGGGTGGGAACTAAACTCTGCTGCCCTGCAGTTCTCCAGTAACTTGGAGTTTGACCCCTGGAGATCTACGTTCCTGCAGATTTCAGTTGCTACCCATATCAAACACACCTGCCTGTAATTATCACGTGGTGTTCAAGTCCTAATTAATTGGTTTAGGTGTGTTTGATATGGATAGCAACTGAAATCTGCAGGAAGGTAGATCTCCAGGAACAGGATTAAGCACGCCTGGTATATAGCATACTTTTAAAGCAACTGCTAACATTTATCACAATCACATATCCAATAAACACACAAACACACACACAAAGTGCTGCAGTGAAATGTGTTACTCTCTCCTCAATGCAGACCATGCAAAAAAAATAAATAAATAAAAAAACTGAACAGCAAAAAACAAAATAATTATTTTAAATTTTAAAGTTTTAAATAATTAAAAGCTCTGTCAAATCTCAAAAAGTTTAAAATAATTATAGAAAACAAAAATAAAGTTGGCAACACCGAAAAACCAAAGGATCCAATCTTTTATTGTTATAATTATCTCATGACAACAAACTTTTTTATTGTTTCTAATATAAATTCATAGGTGGAAACACAGCTCTGAAAAATACTTAGCAACAAACTCACAACCTGGGACCTGACAGGGGAGCTTTTGTGTGTGGATGGCTATGTGTATCATGTTTTTGTGATTCCCTGTGATGATGTGCACATGTTACCTTACTGAGATCATGGAATTTAATTTTGGCTTAGTTGCCAGAAAGATACATACAACTTTTAGCATCTGTACATTATGGCAGTATGCAATATCCAATAAATACATATACTTAAACAAAAGTAATGTAAGAAGTTATATGAGGAGAGGCTAACTAGCTAACAATGTAGCTTTCAAGTACACAGTTCAAGATAACAACAATATAACTTAAAACACAGCCTTATTTTATAAACCCTCAAAAACATTTTAACACATTTTACTTACTCATCGTAGATTCTTATTTAAAGCCTAAAACATATCAGACTCAACATCTGAATTGATAGACAGAGAATAGAGCACACTCAGCAGTAAACAAATCAAACAACTGGCTCTCTTAAAGGGCCGGCATTTTCTGAAAACTCTTTCTAACACCTTTGTGTTTAGAATAAGACGGACAGCCTGTGGGAGTGTGTGGTGATGCCTAAATCCTTGTTTTTTTACAGTTATTTACTGCACAATCTACAGAGTAACAGTGCAGTTATACTAATTAAACACACCTGATCAAACTAAATCTAAAGGTAGTGTGTTGAAGCGGGGCTGGAACTAAATTCTGCTGGGCTGCGGCCCTCAAGGAGTTTGAAATCCCTGGTACATAGCATATTTTCAAAGCAACTGCCTACATTTATCACAATCATGCACATATCATTGAATAAAAACAATAAAAATATAAAAACTTCATCCAAAGCAAAAAAATAAATAAAAATAATAATAATAATAATAAATAATCTGATCCTCATGTTGTTCCAAACCTGTAGTTATCAAAAATAAATAAATAAATAAAATAACCTGATTAATACATTTATTTAGGAAAGCCTTTATACTATACTGTTAATGCCACTTTTACACTTCATTTGAAGTTTTCCAAACAAATGCTGTTTAAGATATTTTTTTATAAGATACGTGCTGTTTAAGATATTTTTTAAATAACACAATTTTACTAGTTATTTAGCAAAATACTAATATTCAGCTTAAAGTGCAATTTAAACGCTTAACTATATGCTAAACTAGGCAAATTAGATTAATTATAGAAAAGTAAACAAAGTTATAAAAATGATTGTGATAATTTGATTGCTCTGTGTGAATATTTTTGCCTTTAAATGCATCTCGTCGATATCTTTACCTTTTCATTAGCTCATTGACATTGGTTGACTCCTGATACTCAATGTTAAAAACATAAAAGTATATATATAGCAACATAAAGCATCAGAGTACATGGGGTAATAATGGTTGAGCAGTAATTTACCATTTATTATTACAGTAACTATCTTTAATGGGTACATAAAGTAAATTACTATAATTTATTCTTTGCACTACAAAATCTCATACAAATCCTGCTCCTTTTACAGTAAAATACTGTTTCCTTTTATTACAGCAAAACACTGGCTATTTTACAGTTATTTACTGCATAATCTACAGTAAGGGTTAACAGTGTGGGCACAACCTTTCTAAGCTTCAGTGGGCAACCATGTGATGATGACAGTACATAATATTTTACTAGATAATTTTCAAGATACTAGTATTCAGCTTAAAGTGCAATTTAATATAGATTAATTAGGCAAGTAAGGGTAATTAGGCAAATCATTGTAAAACGATGGTTTGTTTTGTAGACAATAAAAAATACAGCTTAAGAGGGCTCGTAATAATAACTCTAATGTTGAGTATTTATTTAAAACTGCTCTTATTCTAACTAAAATAAAACAAATAAGACAGTCTAGAGGAAAAAAATACTATAGGAATGCTGTGAAAAATTCTTGCTCTGTTAAGCATTATTTGGGAAATATTTAAAAAGAAAAAAAATTCACAGGAGGGTTAATAATTTTGTCTTTAACTATATATGTTTTTCATATATTATACATTTTTATTTTAATTTACAAAGATGTTTTTTTGGCTACCAGTTTTAGTCTTAGTTTCAATTTAGTTTATGAAATAACCTTTCCATAGACTCTCTCATACTCCATTCTAATCATGCTCTTCTTTCTTACTCCTCCGACAGGTGGGCGTCAGGGAAAGCTGCCAGTGACTGCATTCGAGGCTTTCGATCTTGAGATGAAGAGCTGGACGAGGTACCCGTCTATCCCCAGCCGCAGAGCATTCTCGTCGTGTGCTGCCAGTGACAGAGCCTTCTTCAGCCTCGGCGGCCTTCAGCAGCCCGGACCACACAACTTTTACTCCAGACCTCACTTTGTCTCCACTGTAGAGGAATTTGATTGTGAGCAGGGTGAGCGATCCATCTCTTTATTTCTAAATCCCACACCGAGAACATGAACTGAGGAAGACATTGTTTTCTTTGCTACACTTTGTCTCTCTCTGTGACTCTCTTTCTTTCTTTCTCTCACTCTATCTTATAAAAGTTTAATACTGATATACAGTACACAATGTGAACGTTTGCCACAAATATAGATTGTTTTACAGATACTTCAGCAACAGGAAATCAGTAGGCCTACACCGTAAGTGTCTGTGTGTGAATTATAAAGCTTAGTCCACTGTAAACAATCTTCTCTGGCAACCCTGTCATGCATGACATGTCATCCAGGCCTCACAGTCCAGCAAGTTTATCCTCCTGATCGGTCAGCTTCAGATTGATTGACAAATTGGCAAACCTCACGAATTCAACCCGACTGCTCCTGAACTTTTTTAATGTTTAAATACGATCGGAAGGTCGTGAGCTGCTTAGCTTAACTCATGACTTCGTCTCACACAGTCAGAAGCCATGACCATAAGAGCACGGGATGGGAAAAACACTTTATATTAATCAGCTTTAAGTTCATTCATTCATTTATTTTATTTTCGGCATAGTCCCTTTATAAATAAGGGGTCGCCTCAGTGGAATGAACCGCCAACTTATTCAGCATATGTTTTACACAGCGGATTAAAGCTGTAATCAGGCCATAAAAATGAGGCCTGATTGGGGCCCGAGCTCGACAGAATTCGGCCTGAGCACGACAGGTACATTTTGATGGACCGCTTTTTAAAAGCCTGCACCTGTTTAGAGCCTGACATTATTCAAATGTACACAGGCACACAGCTCTTTGGAACAAAGAAATAAAATAAGTCCTCTATGTTAAGCATCGTAACATTTCAGCACTCTAAATAGGCCTAGGTACATACACTTAGCCTTTAAATTGGCCAACACACCAATGAAAAGAAGTCTTTCTTAACAAATTAAATTGAAGTAAATTCTAAATTATGACAGGTATTTGGCAATAACAAAATTAAGATAAAGGCTCTGCGAGATTTGCTTTGCCACGTCTTTTCATAATCTGGCCTTAAAGCGACGGTGAAGCTGAATATTAAAAGAATAGCCTAATGCCAACATCAGCCTGTATACTCTGTCTACATTATATTTTTATGGTTTAATTAATATTTTTTATAATTTAAAAAAACTCTTTACTCACCAAAATTAGGCTACGTGTTTTTGTGAAGGAACATTATTGAATTCACTGTAAATGGCTTTAGCGCAGTCCTGCACTCAGGATGGTGCGTCCAGCAGCACCGAACACCCTTTCACTGCTGCTGCTACAGGCTGAGATGCAGAGTTCTGATCTGGCTAACTTTGCAAGTTTTGGGTAGGATTGTTTGATCATCTTTTACCAGCCAGGAACATTCATTTAATTTTCCATGACAGCAGTTTCAGTGTAGTGAGTGACCTCATCTTTTTACCTGTCAGCTTGCTGTTTAGCACTCTACTGTCATACGCAATGTATGAGCGACGTGTCGGGTCCCATTGGGTTCAGGCAAAGATCTTCAGCTTTACAGCAGATGCCCTTCCAGCTGCAAGTCAGTACTAGGAAACATCCATAATAGACTCATTCACACACATACACTATGGACAATTTAGCTTTCTCCTATAGCACATATCTTTGGAATTGTAAGGGAGTTTATCAGCTTAAGTTTTTTTCCACCAGGAGTTGTAGGGAAAACATGCCTGCAAAAACATTGTTCCAAAAATAAAAAAACAACATTTACAAAAAATTAGCTGCATTTCCTGGATGAAATCAGCAATAGAAGCTGTAATAACTGAATAAATGAACAAAAACTTGGTTTGTAAACAGCTGTTAGTGAGGCTTTTATTATATATCATTTAATTTATCAAAACTCTGTAGCTTAGCTTGTACTAAATATGGCTGTCAAGTAATTTACAATTTCCCACAATCGTATATCGTGACTTGCACACAGTCAAGATTCCCTTCCAATGTTGAAATCATGGCCTTGAACTTTGTCACCAAGGCCTCTCTTTGATCGAGCCATACAGTAGCTGAGTCAGTTGGCAATTCTGTGTGGAGTTTGCATGTTCTCCCTGTGTTGGCGTGGTTTTCCTCCTTGGTGCTCCGGTTTCCCACACAGTCCAAAGACATTGACTATAAATGCAAATATATTTTGATTTCAATATCTTTGAACATTATCCAATCACTGGTCTCCTGGTCTACAGTCAACATGTTTTAGAATCAACATTTGATCTGTCATGAAATCACGAATCATGAAAGTGGTCTTGACATTATTCTGGTCTCCTCTTCAAGGCTTCCTCTCTCTGTTCCTCTTTTGATGCTGTGGTTGAATCCTCTCTGACAGCGCAGCTTCAATCTCTTCAGCCTCTCTGTGTGACAGGCAGTAGAAAGATTGATGGGTTGCTTCGTTCACTGTACATACAGGACCCGAGGGATGGAAATATATTTGCTCCTCTCTCTCTAACCGCACAGCAGGGGGGCAATCTGTGGTATTACAGCATGCTCTCCTGGTAAAAGCCATCTATAAGTCCTTGTGGAAACTGCTTAGTCAATCACTGGTCTTATAAGGTGCATATTTTTAATCTATTTTCTTGTGTCAGAAAAATCAACAGGGGGATGCTGAATGTTTATCCACCTTCCTCCAAGCATAGGAAGTGGTATTCAGTTCACAGAATTGAGCAGTATCAGCTTTACATTACGCTGACTGGTCCACATGCAGTTTTAAAGGAGTTCATGAGCCATTTAAAATCTCGGGACGCATGAAATAACATCCTGCGGTGGATATAAAATGTACTGTACGTTGATCCTCGAGGCGCAGTTAGATATAAAACTGCGAAAAACATCGTTTTTTGTTATTGAAGGCATTTATGCAAAACTCACACTGATTTAATTTTCACTTTGATTTAACATGCTGTGTAAAAGTCAGACCACATAAAATAGGAGTTTTTAAACCTAATGCAAGTTTTAGGATTTTGAAGAGGTTTACAAAAATGATAGTCAATAATATATGTAATAGTATATATACTATACAGTATAATACTATACAGTATAATACTATACTAAAAAAAATTACTAATAATAGTATTACTAATAATATTTGTAATTGTAATAATAACTAGTATTACTAATAATATTTGTAATACTTTTTAAAAGCTGCAATTATTTACTGAAATTGTTTTAATACATTTGGTATTTTGGCAGTAGATTTTTTTTGTTCCCAGTCTCTGTATAAGCAGAGTAAAAGTAGTGGAAAGAGTGGGAAGTAAGTTTTATGTCAGATAAAGACCTGTTTTTCCAATCTTCCATGGTCCAATTTTGTTGAGCCTGTGTGAATTGTAGCCTCAGTTTCCTATTCTTAGCTGTCAGGAGTGGCACCCGGTGTGGTCTTCTGCTACTGTAGCCAGTAGGTCAAAATCCCAGTAGATCAGAAGTTTCTGAAATACTCAGAACAGCCCGTCTGGCACCAACAACCATGCCACATTCAAAGTCACTTAATTCACCTTTCTTCCCCATTCTCATATTCAGTTTTGAACTGCAGCAGATCGTCTTGACCATGTCTACATGCTTAAATTCTGTTGCTGCCAAGTCATTGGCTGATTAAAAATTTGTGTTAACGAGCAGTTGGACAGGTGTACCTTATAATGTGGCCAGTGAGTGTATACAGTATTGTTACGTCCTTTTAGATGTTAATATTAAACTAGGAGTAGATGACAATAACATACATTAGTTTAATGTGTGTGACAAGCGGATGGAGAAAGAAATAAACTGAATCAAATAATCACTGCAATTATTTATTGCCCATATATCCAATGAAAACCAGTGAAAATATATTATACAGTGAAAGAAAAATATTTACAATGATTAAATAATGAATTACCTGGGGGGAGAGGAAGTAGTTGAATGTGCTTAAATCAAAGAAATAAATATAACAAAACTCAGTAACTGTTTTCACCAAACTAAACTAAATATGAAAAGAAAAGCATGAAAAGAAACATCTTCAACGTACCAAACGTCTTAACTAAACTGCTCTAACTAAAAACAAAACATACAGAAAACAGCACATTCTCCTGAACCTAATGAACTAATACAAAATATCAATCTGAGTGTTGTATATGTATATCGCGCGACTTACTCACTCCTACACCTCTCCGAGGCATCACTCAAACATGTCAGTTAACTGGACAATTTCACAAACATTGTTAAATCACAAACTTTAGACAGGAGCATTAAACAAGCAAAACACCTTCTCTCAGACTAGCCCTCGCAAGAGAGACTGTCCTCACAGAGACCCACAGAAAGAATAAGAGCGAGAAGTGGCGAGAAGGAAAGAGACAGAGAGAGAGAGATCGCCATTGCAGTTTGGGCTCGGCTTTTAAACGCTACGCCAACCAGCGATTGGTGGCGCAAACCCAGCGTCAGCGGCCAACGTCATCAGCACGAAATGCGGATCCTCCAATGCCGTTCGTACCTGTAACACATGCATGAAACGACACACCCACATACAAACGAACGCACACACTTATCCAAAATACGTTCTGCAAGGGAACGTTACAAGTATATTAAATGTAAATGACCTGTTAACCAATTTGCATAGTCCTAAAAATTACATTTTCACACCAGGAAAAAATATTCAAGTTAAAGTTATATAATTTACCGGATATTACAGTTGGTAATTTCTATATTTCTATAGTAAAACAGTTTCTATATAATTATTAGTTTTCAATATTATTTTGCTCTCTTTTAAAATCAAAGGCACAGTTTGTGCTAGAATTTTAGTTTTGTTTCTTTGAACTCTGTAATATACTATAATTTCATTGTCCGTCTCAAGCATTTATCATTGACAAACGCTGCTTGAAGGCTCACGTTGACCAGTCTGAAAATGTAACTTAAGCCCTTAACCTCAAATCTTAATCTAATTATGACAAACTATATATCGTTGGAAAGGCCTACGTCTTTAAATACATATTTTACCATGTTTTGTTGCTGGATGAGT